ATAGTGCAACTACAAACATTCTTTCTGGCAATAGATTTGCTGAATTAGCTGAAACTACAGATGAAGCTAATCAGCCTATTAACAAAAATTTTAAACCGCCTCCAATCTACTTGCGTGAACGCAGCTCAAATAAGCTAGTTACAATCCTTGCAAGTCTGATTGGAAATAATACTTTTCATATTGTTCCTATAACTAGGGGCAATATACACGAAACCAAAATCCAAATCGACACTGAAAACATTTTTAGAGTCATAACTAAATATTTCGAAGACAGCAAAAAAAATTACTACACATACCAACTAAAGAGTAGTAAGGGCCTTGTTGTCGTAATTAAAGGTATCGAATCAGATGTAGAACCCATTGAGATAACAAATGCCCTAAGCGAAAAAGGCTTTAGCGCTAGAGCAGTAATAAATATTGTTAACAAAGATAAAATCCCACAACCTATGTTCAAAGTTGAACTTCACCCGGAAGCTTCTAAGCTTAAAAAAAATGAGAGCCATCCCATCTACAACCTACAGTATTTACTTCACCGCAGAATTAGCGTTGAGGAGCCCCACAAAAGAAATGGTTCGGTGCAATGCACAAACTGCCAAGAGTATGGCCATACTAAGTCATATTGCACTCTTCGTACAGTGTGCGTAGCTTGTGGCGAGCTTCACCATAGTTCCGAATGCGATAAAAAAGCATTAAAGGATACCAACTCCAAAAAATGTAGCAACTGCAGTGGAAATCACACTGCAAACTACAGAGGCTGTCCTATTTATAAAGAACTAAAGCACAGGTTAGCTCTGCAGAAAGAAGCGTTGCGTAATCCTACAAGAAGCAACACCATTAAATTAGTTAAAGTACCTCAACCTTTAACTTTTAAGCCTGTTACACGAGGTGTTTCATTTGCTAATGTCGTTAAATCTGACAAGCAATAAGCCCCTCCAGTTCAAAGTAATAGTTTGGAAATAATGATCTCCACTCTCACTCAGAGCTTAACTCAGTTCTTGTCAATCATGCAAACTACTCTTAACGAGATAGTTAAAATGCAAAGCCAATTAATGCAAATGTTTTTGTCTAAATAATGAGTACTTTAAAAATTTGTTCATGGAATGCAAACGGCTTAAGCCAACATAAACTTGAACTCACAAATTTCATGTCCCGAGAAAGTGTGGATGTAATGCTTTGCTCAGAAACACATCTAACTAACTAAAATTTCTTTTCTATTCCTGGTTATTTATTCTATAAAACCAATCACCCAGATGGCAAAGCACATGGTGGTACAGGTATTTTGATACGAAGGCGTCTAAAACACAATTTTCTAGGTACATATGCTCATAACTATATGCAAGCCACATCAATATGCCTTAAGCACACAGGAAAAAATTTAACTTTATCGGCAGTTTACTGCCCTCCTCGCTTCAACATTACTGAGACCCAATTTACGGATTACTTTTTAACTCTAGGTGAAAGATTTCTTGCGGCGGGAGACCACAACGCCAAGCACACGTATTGGGGTTCACGACTCTGTAATCCAAAAGGAAAACAGCTCTGCAATTCAATTGTAAATAGAAAAAATTCACTAGACGTAATCTCTCCTGGGCAGCCAACATATTGGCCTGCTGATAACAATAAAATACCAGACCTAATAGACTTCGCCGTATCCAAAGGCATAAGCAAAAATTTTATCTCAACATACACTAGCTGCGATTTGTCTTCTGACCATTCTCCAGTTACATTTTGCTTACGTGATGGTCCTCAGTTACGAGACTGTTCCTATAGCCTTACAAGTCCTAAAACAAACTGGCTCAAATATAAAAAGTATATTAACTCACACATACACACAAATTACAAGATAAAGTGTAAGTCTCATATTGAGGACGCAACCTCGGTTTTAAACTCAATTCTGATTTCAGCAGCAGAAAACTCCACCCCTAAAGGCAATAAAATTTACAGATTCAATAGAGTTCTTACAAATAGTGACATAGAGAATTTAGTTTTACAAAAACGTAGATTAAGGCGTGAATGGCAAAAATCTAGGTCCCCTTTAGCGCAAAACTTATTTAAGGAAGCCCAAAGAAGACTTAGATCTGCATTAAGCAAGGAAGACAAAGTCAGACAATATAATTATATTCAAAACCTATGTCCAAATGGCAAAAACCATTCATCTTTGTGGAATGCTAGCAAAGGTATAAATCCTCCCATAGACTCCAATTCTCCAATATGAAACTCTCTTGGAAACTGGGCGCGAAGTGATGAAGAAAAATCTAACGTTTTTGCTGATTACCTAAAAGAGGTGTTCCAACCAAATCCTGCAGCAGGACAATATGACTTTCCCACTCAAGATCCACCAGCACCATCTATTGACATGAATATCACGGCCAATGATCTTGTTCAAATAATCACAAATAAGTTAGATTGCAAAAAAGCACCGGGATATGATAATATCTCACCCATCATGATAAAAAACTTACCCCTTTTGGCCATAAATTTTATCACAAGACTTTTTAATGCCATAATTAAATTTGGCTTTTATCCAACAGAGTGGAAAACATCCATGATTATTATAATTCATAAATCAGGTAAAGACCCCACGCTTGCCTGTTCATACAGGCCAATAAGCTTACTGCCATGCCTTTCTAAAACCATGCTAAAACCGTTCCTTGACGTTCAAAACTTAATACCGTCCCACCAGTTTGGTTTTAGGGAAAAACATGGAACTATTGAGCAAGTGAATCGTATAACGAATGAAATAAGACACGCATTTGAGCTCAGAGAATATTGTTCAGCGGTATTCCTTGATGTTAAACAAGCATTTGATAAAGTATGGCATAATGGACTCATATATAAGATACGCTATTCATTACCTGCAAATGTCCACTCAGTTCTAGAATCGTATCTGCATAATAGAAGCTTTAAAGTGAAATGCAAATCATATACTTCTAATAATTTCCCAATAGAAGCTGGCGTTCCACAAGGAAGTGTTCTTGGCCCTATATTGTATGTACTTTACACATCTGATATCCCGATAAGTAGTTCAGTTATCACCACAACGTTTGCCGATGATACGGCAATTTTATGCCGAAACAGAAACGCTGTGCTAGGTTCAAACCAACTTCAATCTCACTTATATCGGGTGGAGAAATGGTTGTCAAAATGGCGAATTAAAATTAACGAA